AATATTCCATTTGAATGAGTTCTAAAGATTTGACGTAAAAAACTTATGGCTTAAAATTTCTGAATCTGACGGGATGGATCAGATGGGATGACTGGGAGCAGCTCGTCGGATTGCCGGGATCGAGCGGACGGTGGCGAGTTGTTGCGTCAGGCTGCGGTGGTGAGGTCACGCGAGGTCGTCGCAGGATCAGCGAGTTACAGCGTCGGGCTCGGCTAGTCACAGTGTCGCGGGCTGGGCTAGGCAATCGGTCGTGGGCTCGCTGCGGCAGTCAGTGGATCACGACGGTCGGCGGTGGTCCAGCGGTGGATCTCCGGGGTCAATGAATATATTCGATCACAGGGTCTCAAATACCACAAGATCTTCTATTGTATTACTCAAACACCCCTTCAACTTGTATCGACAGAACAACAAGAAAAAGATAAAGGTCGAACAGAAATCTAGAGAGAGAGAGAGAGAAAGGGCGTGCGTGTATAATGAATACACGTTAGGGATTTTCTGGTCTCTTCCGTGTCTATTCCATGAGTTTAATGATGTATATATAGAGCTACAGTAGGGATCTTTAGGAGAATAGGATTAGAACTTCTTAAGTATTGGACTAACTGTGGGCCAAGCCCACTCTTCCAAATAATAAAATAATAAAACGGTCTACTAACGTAATAATATTGCACTCTTTTTTTTTCTATCCGAAATTACATTTGAGACTCCAATTATAATTACCCGAATTACCTTGCCAAGTTTAAGATATATTGTTTATTAATTAATTCAATTACTGATAATCAATAATTAATTAATATATTATATTTCCAAAGCTAGCGTTCGTTCATTGCATTATTATTATGCCGGAACTTAATCCACCTACAGGGTTTAGCATAACAATCCTTCATGAGCTCACTTCGGGGACATCATCATACTAACGCACATGGTGACCGTAAATATCATAACAACACATCTACATACATCAATATTACCCAGGATTGTAAGGCTATTGATTCGGTGAACTGAATCTAAACCCTAGTGAATCAGAGT